CACCTCAACTCCCGCCTCCTCCCCCACGCCTCGATCGCCGCCCTCCTCCCTCTCCCATCTGCCCAAGCGTTGCTGGAATCCCTGTAAAACAGTGAATAATTTTAATAGAAACATCATGTATTTGCATGAGATAAAATTAATCACCTGTATCACATTACAGTAGTGATTTAAGAGTAAAAGTGTATGTGCACGATATAGTATTCCACATACTGTACACGAAGTATAAATACAAAGTTTATGTGATGATCGGAAACGTCCATTTCGGTTAGCGCCACGCTTCCAAGAACTTATCTAGACTAATCATGTATATATATATGTGTGTATATATATATATATATATATATATATATATATATATATATATATATATATATATATATATATATATATATATATATATATATATATATATATATATATATATATATATATATATATATATATATATATATATATATATATATATATATATATATATATATTATATATATATATATATATATATATATTTTATATATATATATATAATATATATATATATATATATATTATTATTATATATATATATATATATATATATATATATATATATATATATATATATATATATATATATATAATATATACACACACAGTCAACCCTCTCTTTACGCGGTCCCACATTCCACGTTTACGCGGTACCCTGCCGAAACCGGAATGCTCACATTCCGCGGTGCGTGTACCCCTTTACGTGGAGAGCGGCTGGTGAGCCGCGCCATTTTTGGATCCAAACCTCCCGCCATCTCTCCCGCCATCCGCCATGTTGTGTAAGCGGCGCGAGCAGGGTGCGCACAAGGTCGCCCAGTCATCAAAACATTACTGAGTTCTTCACCCGTCACCCACCACAGCCGGCCCAAGTCAGTGATCGTGATAAGTATAGTGAGGATATGGACTTATATGGACTTTGAGGGGTTTGACAAAGAGGCCCTGCAAGCCTCTGTGGTGGATAGTGATACAATTGATACAAGTGATACAGGTGAGGGCCAATAATCTGCCCTCTGCCTCAGAACCACCCCCCATCCCCGTGTGCCCAGCCATCTTTTCTACTAATGTAAGTGCTAAAAAACCTAATATTATTGATATTTCTCTTAATTATTAATTGTGTGTGCACACCATCATAAAATTAAGAAGTTATTTTTACTACAACGTAGGTATTGTGTCGGAAAAAGTGGAGTTTGGGGGTCGGCCCGGTCTCTATTTCAATTAATCCCATATGTTATGTTGTTCACTTTACGTGTTTCTCACTTTCCGCGGTACCCTGTGGGTTGAATTAACCGCGTAAAGTGAGGGTTCACTGTATATATACAGTATATATATATATATATATATATATATATATATATATATATATATATATATATATATATATATATATATATATATATATATATATATATATATATATATATATATATATATATATATATATATATATATATATATATATATATATATATATATATATATATATATATATATATATATATATATATATATATATATATATATATATATATATATATATATATATATATATATATATATATATATATATGTATATATATATATATATATATATATATATATATATATATATATATATATATATATATATATATATATATATATATATATATATATATATATATATATATATATATATATATATATATATATATGGTTAAGGAAACGGAAATTATTTTGACAGCTCCGGCACCTTAAAAATTGTCACTGCAACATTGGCTATGTCCAGGAAGAAGCTTAAGTATGATTGCCTCTGGATCTTCTTTCACACTGGGAGGTGGTGTGAGGATGGGGTGTTCTACTGTATGTTTTCAGTGAGTCAAAAGTGTGATAGAATTGGATTACAGTAGAAAACAGAGCCTTTTTCTTTGTTACTTTTGGACGAACATAATTTGAGAATTCTCAGGCATTACTTATCTGAACTGTTATGAAAAATGTAGTTGAGAGATCAAGAACTAGTCCTTTTCAATCACAGCTATTTTATATCAACTTATTGAAATATCAAAATAAGTCCACCCACACTGTCAAGTTCAGGGTGATTACTGTCCAACAAATGAAGAGAAGCCCAAGGAAAACCTTTTAGTCAACATCAATTGACTTAAAAGTGCTACTTTCGGTATGTTCCAAATCATAATACCTTCAGAAAATTCCAGACTTTAAAACTTGGCTCAAGGGTTGATGGTGACTCCTAAAATCTTTACAAATATTTCAAGGATTATTCTAAAAACCCCAAAGGAAGGGAATTTTTACATCACCTGTCTTGGACTTAGTTCATTCTGGGTTCCCTTAAGGAAGTAGTTCACCATGGTACTGTACTTGGACAGTTATATACATTCTTTTCCAGGCAGATTTCTTTGTGAAATGGGAGAAGCTTAGGTTGATACTTCCAAATCATATCTGTAGATGGGTGACAGGCAAAACTGGCCCTATTGTGACCAAAATGACTCTACTGTAACCAAAATGGCCTTTCTGTGACCAAAATTACCCTACATTATGAACAAAATAGCATTCCTGTGACCAAAATTGCCACCTTATAATCAAAATGACCCTATTGTGACCAAAATGGCTTTACGGTGACTAAAATGGCCTTACTGTGACCAAAATTGCCCTACTTTATGATCAAAATGGCCCTACTGGGAACAAAATTGCCCTATCTTATGATCAAAACAGCTCTACTGTAACAAAAATGGCCATTACTGTGACCAAAATGACTCTACTGTGATCAAATTGCTTCATAGAATGTATATTGTATAGCAGTTATACCATACATTTAATGAATACCAGAATGTATTCTTAACCTGTTAATGGTTAAATTCATAGATTTACATACGCGAGTGACCTTCTCTGAGTGTCTATTACGTAGATCAATGAATCTGACTTCTTAAAATTCCTGTGGCGTCTGAAATAGCCCAGAATGATAAATATACTTAAAATATAAGAAATGGCAACCACTTTAGACACATCAGCCTGTTTCAGCAACCTCTGTCCCTCCAAAACCCTCTTCTAAGTCAGATGATGCTGTTAGGCAAGGTATGAGAGACGGAGAGTGAAGTGAGGTGATTACCACTACACCCACACATACCCAGCCACTTCCTCCTCAACACTCCCCAAGTTTGCTGCCCTCAACACAGGCTAAGAAATATGCCCAGAGATCATGTCACGTATACACGAACACAGTGCTACATGAAAAAGTGTGTAAAGACACTAGGTATTGCGGCAGCAAGTGTGATTGTTCCACTGTGCTTGATGTCCTGCTTTGAGCAATACTTATATAATTATTGTAAATGTAAGAAACTTTGGTGAAAACAAAGATATTTTTGTTTGCAGGGTCCCACATGTGTGAATACTGAAGTAATATGTAGTAAGACTTGTTGTTGGCAGTTCATAATGTAAACAATGCAAGTGTAAAGCAATAAACTTGTAACTGATACACTTATCACTGTTTGAATATATGAGACACATATAAGTGATAAAGGGGATCAAATTATGTGAGGGGAACAGTGAAAATATAAGTCCAAGAGTATAAAACATGACTCGATGAACAACGTGGAATATTATGCCATCAGCCAAGCACTCCACATCTCCCACCCCAATCTACTGGCATGGAAGCTTTAAAATGGTGAGCACAACCAAAATTAGTGTTATTCTCAGGTATTACGGTATACACCAAACTGCACTTTTTTAGAAAAAAAAAATTTGTTAACCAGGGGACATTTAACAATCAATAACCCGACCAAGTGCGGGTTAAACAAAAATCAAACATGTTACAAAATATGCATTTAAGAGTGACATATTATGGATTGTAAAGATATTTTGGAAAAAAAAATTGCAAAATATATTAAAATATACTTCTGCAATACCATATGTAATACACATTAATAGGAGGTACATTGTCAAATTATGATGGTGTAACATTATGACAGCAAATCTTCACAGAACAGCAAGTTAACAGTGTTGGATTCATATTCTTCCTACAACTTGTGGATTTGGCCCTGCAGTTTGATGCTTCTTTCTCTGCACCTCTGCAGCTTGTCTTCATTGAATAGCTTGAATTGAAAGTTACCAGCTTAGCCTCATTGCTGACAAAACTTGATGAGTACCCAAAACTGCAGCTGTCTTCCAGCTTTCCCATTGATTCTCTGGTGTTATCCTTCAACATCATTATTTGTTCTGATGGATTTCCCATGGAGGGATTAAGATGTCATGGGCCAAGATTATTTCAAGCCAGGTGGTCTGGATATATTCTTCATAAGAGGTGAGGATTCCATCCCCTTTCATACAAAGTTGTTTAAGGCATCCATGATGTCTGCAGTCAACATTTAGGGGAAAGAGATGAATTGATGGAAATATATGCCTATGGTCCTCCTGTCTTGTACTGTACTGTGGGTCCAAACCCTACTCCTGTAACTTATGATCCACAACTTGACCCCTTTGGAAGTTTCATCCATGGATCTGTGCATCTGGAGAAGTTGCTCACACGTCTTTCCAATTTACAGACTCAGGATCTGTGCTAAAGCTGGTAACTGTTAGTTCCTTAATCTTGTCCCTGATGACTCTCAGGACATGACAGTAGTCTCACTTCCTCTTGCATTACTTTAAAACAAACCAATGTTAATTTGCTTAGCATTGCCTGAATCACTCTTGATAAACACTGTACACAGGAATTCACCTTGCACCTGTACAGGTATATGTTAAAAATCCATCACCCCTCAAGTTACAGAAGTGTTATGTTCCTGAAAAGTTGTCCATCAGTCGAGGAATACCTAGAGTCATGAGGAACTGCAATTAGGCAGCAAGCAATGAAATTGTTTGTGTTCACGATGCAAAATAGGTACGTACAAGCAACACAAGTGAAAACTAAGTAAGAATGTAAACCAATTGACTTACAAGGAGTAAAAGAATGTAGTTTAATGAAAAAGGATACCAAAAAACATACAATTAACAAGAACAATTAAATTTATTATAAATATATATAATACATCTTTGAAATTTTCAAGTACAAGTACTGTACAGTAATTAAGTAAGTTTCAATTTTTTCTTCTTCTCTTCTTTTACCAATTTATTCCTCTTCTTGCTGTAATAAAAGACATGTAGATCACAAAAATTATATAACAACAATATCATATCAGAGAAACAGCCTTAAATGTAACTAGGCAATATGGAGTGTCATGGGTAAGTCACAATGGTGTTGAACTCTCAATGCACAATCACATGGGAGACCAACAGTAACCATTAAATAAGACTTAGTAAAATTACAAATGGGATAAAGAACAACCTTACCTGTCACTTAGAGCCTTCACCTCCTGTTCTTTGGTCTTGATCCCAAACTGAGTAACGTCAATGAGTTGAGTTACCTTCTTTCTGGCATCTGCTTCTTGAGCTTTCATTTTCTAAGTGAAAACAAGTGAATTGGATACATCAGTTACTAAGGTATTGATTCTTTTATGATATACCGTGTATGTATTTGTAAAAAAATCTTATATAAGTAATGAATGGAGTTTAATTTTTGAAGATTAAAAAATAAAAGTAATACAAAATCCTCAGAAGACATCATAAAAAAATATATACAGTACATTTAATCTAAAAATACTTGTTTACAGATTACTGTACTGTGATCAAAAAGTACAAAAGTTGTTTCAATTTGCTTTTGAAGATAATAAGGAAAAAAATGTATCCCTTGTTTCATATTACTGTACTGTTTCTGGAATGACCACAGCTAAAATATGAATGATGTCACAATTTCCAGAAACTTTCAATCAGAAAGTGGTATCTGGCAACTACCAAACTTGCTTTATTTTTGCTTGAATTTTTTCAAGATGGAACACAATTCAGTAAAATAGTATCAGAAATTAATTAATAAATGCTCAAGCAGTTTTTCATAAGAATATTGTAAAAACAAATCCTGTTGCAAAAATTTTAGTATAATTTGAAATGAAATAATATGACAGACAGTATGAGATTATCACTCAGGGACATTCTGGAATAATTTGTAGAGTTATAACTGAACCTAAAAATAAAAAAGCATACATTACAGTATTTGTGTTAAGCTGAAAGGAGTTACCAAATATCATCATTAACTCGAATACGCTGGATAGCTTCAAACATAGGTTGGATGGACATGAGCAATAGGGGTTGGGTGTAAATGGGACTGCCCAGTATGGGCCAATAGGCCCGCTGCATTTTCCTCCAATCTTATGTTCTAATGTATCGAATAAAAAATATGAATTTAAATAATACTCATACTCACCACTTTTATGCCATGTTTTTGATGAATATGGAAAGAAATGTACTCCGCATTTACGACCTCAATGGACGAAGACATGGGGCAGGAAACATTCACAAACCAAAATTTTGAGCTTTAGATACACTATATATTATGTTTAAATAAACATTTCTTGATACCTTTTCCCTTAGTAGTTATAAGAAAATTAATTGTCATTTATTCTCTGGAGGTAGGTATTATTTACCACCCAAGAATAAAATATAAAACATTAAAGATTCCCATTTAATGGTCATTCATTACGGATGAAAAAAAAAAGTTAAAACTTGGTTATATTGCTAACTTCTATGAAATCTTATTCAACTAATAATAATTTAGAGTAACAAATGTCTTTCAGATTGTTTTAAAAATAAAGAAACTTCTAAACAAGGAAATAAGCCACATGCAAAATATTATACACTAGAAATAAGTGTTATTGGCATGTGTTGCCATATCACCTTGGATTGGCTGTTCCTTTTTTTTCCTGCCCGCATTTTCTTCGCCTTTCAAGCATGGGATTGGGATATAGTACTTTTACTTTTGTTACCTTGAACCTTTAACCTGTAAAAATATGAGGGAATGCCAAAAAATGTTAGGTATCAAGAAATTTGGCTCAGCAGTTCATCAATATACCATCTTACTATAACTGCGTCCAGCCCACTAATTAGTGATAAGTCACTCTTGCCAAGCTGCCAGATACAACTGTCTAAACTAATCATACTGAAAACTGTGACATCACCTCATAGGATGATTGTACTGTACAGTATAGGTATGCTTACCTGAGCACTCTCCTTGATACTGAGGGTAAGGTCTTCCATAACACATTGTTCCACTACGAGATCTTCCTCAGAGTTCTCCAGGCTCTTTTTCTCAGCAATCTCTCGCACTCTTTTCTGTGAGGATGTTAAAAACCAATACTCCACTATAAATTGTATCACATAAATTGTATCCTGAAATTACAAAAACCTAACAATATGGAGGCAACTTATTTACAGTATAGTCCCGATTTATGCGGATTTGGTTTACGCGTTTGGTCATTTACGCGGCACCTTGCCAGACCAACAATTTTTATTTACACGGTTCATTCCATCATTTATGCGGGAAGCGGCGCGGGCAGGGTGCGCACAAGGTCGCCAAGTCAACAAAACATTACCGAGTTCTTCACCCGCCACCCACCATAGCCGGCCCAAGTCAGTGATAGTGAGGATATGGACTTTGAAGGGTTTGACAAAGAGGCCCTGCAAGCCTCTGTGGTGGATAGTGATACAATTGATACAAGTGATACAGGTGAGGGCCAATAATCTGCCCTCTGCCTCGGAACCAACCCCCCATCCTCGTGTGCCCAGCCATCTTTTCTACTGACGTATGTGTTAAAAAACCTAATATTATTGATATTTCTCTTAAATATTAATTGTGTGTGCATACCATCATAAAATTAAGATGTTATTTTTACTACAACGTACGTATTGTGTCGGAAAAAGTGTAGTTTGGGGGTCGGCCCAGTCTCTATTTCAATTAATCCCATATGTTCTGTTATTTCGCTTACGCGTTTCTCGTTTTACACGGACCTCCACGGGTTCAATTGACCGCGTAAATGAAGACTATACTGTACTTCTTTCTGTCACTAAAAGGCAACATGTCCTGGAGTTGAGTGGCAAGGAATGCTTATGGGACAAAAGTGTATGATACTCATTTTACAAATGAATATGCAAGTAGGGAATCCAGTCTTGTACTTTGTATAAGTACAATTTGGTGCATTATAGAGGCAGAGTTAATAATTACAGCCACACTACTGAAGCACCTCTATCTAAATGGCCTGAACACTCATTAGTAGCTACATAAATAGTTTTGAAGATGGAATAGTCTATTTACATTTAACCTTTTTGCTGACTGATGACTGACAATTCCCAGACACCTCCCTGCTGGTTTGTATGGGGCACAGCATGAATCATCGCATCACTCACAGCCAACAAATGATCCTAAAAAACTTGTTGTTATTAATCCTGGAGGTTTATTAAACCAAAAGGACCAAACCCAATGCAATAAGTGTGTGAGGTTTGAATGATGCAATCAAATTTGTATGACACAAATTGTATCATTGGCCAATGAGAGGGTGAGGTTTGCCCAATTGTTGTTAACGTGAAAGGGTTAATTTTTAAACATTCACCAATTATGTAATAAAAAGGTTTAGGGTCACAAAGGTTGCATCTTCCTCCATTTCCACCTATCACCACATTCTGCTACTGAAATATTTCCTCATGCCACCTACTTTTATCTTCCTCCATATCTATTCTCACTCAAATGTCTTGCAGGTATTTTTTTGGAACCATACCCTTCATTATCTCATATTAGTGAGGTACCCCATCTTTTCCTACCTTATAATTTCTTATTCATAGTACAGGAAATCCTGGCTATACACACTTCTGCTACACCTATTTTCACACTTAGAGTAAAGATCCCAAGTATCACATTTATGAATTTCTTTATGTTTCACATCCTACTTATATCAAGGCAAGTGTGTAGGGGGTGCATGTACAATACCTTCTTTATGGGGGGACAGGAGTGTGATAGTTAACAATACCTGATACAGTAGATGATACAGGACAAAGGCAGGCCATCCTGTATCATCAGATCACCATTTGGTCTGCCTACATCACAAGTGCAAGACAACAGCATCTGCTAGTGAGTACAGTATAGTGTATACAGTAGTATATTTTGTGAATTTACAATATACTGTATGTGTACAGTAGTGTTTCCATAAACACATACAGCTCTGTGTCTGTCCAACTACAGTTAAACCTCCATGACAACATTGTTTCATGCCAGATGCATAGTTTGGATGTGGAAACATTCACCAATGCCTGGAAAAATTATGTAGATGTGTGATTTTTTTTTTCAGGAATAAGAGAATTCATTTCAATACCCGGAAATCTCTCAAACACAGAAACACTGTGCACCAATTATTCCGGTTAACAGGGATATTACTGTATCCCTAATAGAACAGTCTTACTAACAACAGTACTTACCATCTGTTTTGTGAGGTCAGTAATAAGGCCGTGCATCTGGCTCATGACAATGCTTCGCTCCACACCAAGCTCTGATGCAACTGTCTGGGCTGACTTCCTCTGGACTCCAGTACCACACAGAATGGCCTGAATACAATTACAGAGTGTACAGTTAAGAGAATATGATCCATGGATGTAATAATGATGCAATAAATACACTTTTAATAATTAAGATGGGTGGTTGTGTGTGTATGGATTTCATGAAAAAGATATTCATTAGTAATTGTAAATTCCATCATTAAACATTAGTTGAAATTTGTAAACTGTCCACTCAAAAGACATTTTCTCATTGAAAAGGGACATTTAAAAAGTACTGTACTGTAAAATATTTCAATAAAAATACTTCATATTATAATGTAATTAACATGAAAAAAAATTAATCTAAGTACTGTGCTAACATATGTTGAGTATCCAATGAAAATGGATTACCAAAATATAATATTACCTTAAAAGGTATAGTGATATGTAATACAATACAGTACAGTATTGGGATTAATAAAAATACAAAAGGGTAAACAGTAATCCCCTGATAAGACAAGTTTCTTGGCTAATTTGCTAGGACAAAGAGATTAAATTTTAACAGAAAACTGTAAAAAGATGTAATTCTTGTTAAACATGATTGACACACAATGAAAGACTTAGAAAAAGTGTGAGAGCTGACACAGTAGAGTACACTATAAGATATGTGTGCAGGTTTCCTCTTTCTTCCAACGATGGAAGAAAGAAAAGAAAATTTTTGGCATGGGTTTGTGTCAGCTCATCAGTCTTGTGTAGCCTTTATTCAAGATTACTGGAAAATGTCTTGCATAATGTGATCTATGAAGTGACTGAGGAAAATGCACACAGATGATAAACTTTTTCCACAATAGACTGAGTCTTATCAAGAGATAACTGTATAAGGAATATAAACACCAAAATACTGCAGTAAGATACTGAATATGAAAGATATGAGCAATACAGAAATAGTGGAAAGAAAATTAAATAATGTCTTGGTGATGAAGAAATATACCTGCAGATGTAAATCAGATGTAGACTGCCTGAGCAGTGGCGGCTCGTGAGAAAATAAAATGGAGGGACTGCAAGCCTCACACCGAGTCCCCACCAAACAATAAGCATGGAATTTCAGAACAGTACAAGCAGGAACAAAGAATATACACGCAAGTTTAACATCAGTGTTTATCAGAAATGTGAATGGCTCTGTGGTTGTGACGAGGCAAATACTTTATTCTGCTTTCCATGCTTATTGTTTGGTGGGGACTCGGTGTGAGGCTTGCAGTCCCTCCATTTTATTTTTCACGAGCCGCCACTGTGCCTGAGTATGAATAGCATGATCAAGTGTAGGAGATGATATTATAGTTTCACTGACGCAAAGTAAAAAAAAATCTGCAGTAAACACATAAGGATCACTACTCTGCCAAAACACTCACAGCTTGCACAGGCTTCAGTTTAAAATCTGGTATCTTCTTGAGGAAGTAGAGACGAGCTAAGGCAGGCACAATGTCAGCTATGAGGGCCGCGTCACACTGGTGCCGTACAAACTCCTCCAGCCGGTGCAAGTCTCCAGAAGTAAGATGTAAGTCTAGTTCAGACAAGCTCGGGACTGAACCAAAAAAGAAAAACGGGAGTTGTAGCAAATGAAAAATATCTTCCCCAGCTTAAAGTACGAAGTTTAAAAATAAGTTTAAGTTATCATTACTCTCACAATATTATGGGTCTAATATTGAACTGTACATGTTGAGCAATATTTATTTAAGATTAATCTCTGTCAGTGGACAAAATACGATACACTAAGGGTAATGTTCAAAGCCATCTTGTGGAACCAAACATATATCTCCTTATGCTTGAGGCTTTACAATAAAGAAAAAAAAAAATTGATCAATGATTCAGTACAGTATTCTTAAAAAGCTTTTAGTTCTCTCATTCAAATTATTATCACACTGGAATTGTCTTTTCTTTAAAAAATGAGCTTCTACTTGTGCAGTAATTGGGATTATCCTTAATATCCTCATTAAAGTAAATAATACTCTACTTCCCAGATCATGCAGAGCAGATAATTAGCTGGTGTTAGAGTGAGCTGAAGCTCCCTAAGTATTTCAAAATCAGTGATATCAAAATGCAGCAAGAACTCATACATACACATGCTTTCATAGATCAGGTCAGTCATCTTCCACAAGTATTGAGACATCTTCCATTTATTCTTACCTTCTCCTTTAATCTTGTAAATGTTGTTGGTTAAGATATTCAGTGCAAATTTACAGTCATAACTCTTAAAAGAACATCCCAGAAGAGTAACAAGTCTCTTTCTGAAGTCGAAACAAAGGTCGGCCAGCCATGACTCTGCCCGAGCTTCTTTATTCTCTCCTAAAACTTTGAGCATAATGACTGTGTGTTCCCCAGTCACACTGTTTGACACCTGACTGTTGTAAAAGATCAACAAAGAAATTATATTAATTTATCATCAATTTATTTCATAACTGTTTTTTAAGTCTCTCCTCGACTTACGACAGGGTTCCGCCCCGACGACCAGGTCGTAAGTTGAAAGGCAAAAATAATACACATACATTCTAAAATGAGTGTCTCTTTTTCTTCTCAGCACCACAAGAACTCTCACTTTTACGCTTGCCAGCCATTTTAAAGGGAATTACAAACGAAAATTTTGTCAATACACAGCACGATCACTAACGTCAGGACTCGAAAATACGTAATGTGAAAAATATTTTATACGACCATGGCCATCATATGTCGGAGTTACCGTAAGTCGAATATGTCGTAAGTCGAATATGTCGTAAGTCGAGGAGAGACTGTACTGTACATACATGCTATCACCTATGCAAGTACAGGTTCTGACAATAAAAAAAATATATATATCCAGCAAGCTAATGAGTAGCAAATCTAAATTAACCAATAAACTCCTTTAAAAGTGCTACTTAAGACAAATCAGCGCAGTGCAAAACAAGATGATAAGTTCACAATAACTATGACATAACATATGAGGCGTGTCATAAGCGCCAAAACAAGATCAACACCAGAAAACGTGATTAAAGTTTTGGAAAATGGAACTCACTGTATCTATTGAATTAATTGCAGCAGTGCAATCATTCTTGTAACAAATTGAAGCTTACATACTCAGAATTATGAAACCATAATCAGATAAAAACAATCTTCATCATGATTATTAGTAATCATAAAAATGAATAACACCTTAGATACTTAGAGGCATTAGATTTTGATGAAATTTGAATATTTTGATATAAGATATTCAAGCACATCATAACTAACAATATCATTACTGAAAATGTTCAAGGGATTATAGTTAACACCATATAATCACCTTATCTGCATTTTTTGGCAAAATATTAATGAATGTACTGGAAATAAAGATATGGTAATACAAACAAAGATTATTGCATGCAAAATAATGTACACATACACAGGATCGTGCTACCACTAGAATGTCTCAGCAGGTGGGGAAGAGGAGAGAGAACACACCCCACGCCAGTGCCGCAAACTCACGGCTGACAATTGTTTTACAGAAATGGGATTTCCGAACGTACAAACTATTGCATCAGGCTCCATCAGCCTTGGAATCAAGAGGCAATAAAAAACACGAGACCCTGGTCCCTAATAGCCTCGGATAATGAGAAGTATATACATGTATATAAAAAAATATGTGGTGAAAGTTGCTGGCTGGGAATGCATCCCCCCTATTTCCATTAATCCTTATGGGAAAATTTTTCCTGATATTCAAAAATTCATTATTTGCAATGACTTTTAGGAAAACATCCCTTGCAATAACTGGGATATTCCTGTCATAACAGTCAATGACATTATTCAGGCTTCAAAGTTTTGATTCCCCTGGTTCCCTTCTACGAGCTACCACTGTTTCTAGTGATATCACCTGAACTTACAAATTAATTGCTCTTTACAACCCATATCTGAATAGCAATTCTCCCCACACTGTGATAAGAACATGGAGAAGGGACATGTTGTGAAGCTGAGGCCTGGCATGACACTGGAAATATTAAAAACTTGGTGCCATGTCTGGAAGGCACCAATGCCTCATAACAAGTCTGTTGCTGCCATACATTTACAGCTTACCTGAAAAAAGGGTTAAAACTGTCAGAAAAATCTAATTATGCATAATAATATGGTAAATTCATACTGACCTGAGATATAAAGGGGAGAACCCAGCACGTTTCCAGAATGTGAGGAGTTGTTGAGTAGCACCGTATGACACGCCAAGGTAATGCAATGCTTCGGATGGTCGTTCTGACAATGACTGTAGCAAGGGCAAGGCCTGTGCATTTGGCCCTAATTTCTCCTCCAGCAGGCCAACCTGTTTAGAATAAAATTAATTCCATTCAGATATTCTCTCATTGTATTATTCTGGTTTCCCAGATAGGTCAGACACTAATTCCTATACAGTACAAGTTAGCACCTTTAGTTGTGTCATAACATTATGTTCCCTTACTGTGGCTTCTTTAGTTAATGATGAAAAATATCATGTCAAGTTTCCAGAATCAATTAAAGTGCAACTGACCTGACCATCATGTACTAAGTTGGTAAGCGTTGCCTCTGGCATTGGCGTATCAGTGTAATCTGCATGCACTGCTGCACGGGTGTAGTAGTCGTTCAGCTGTGATAATGCATGGCTGCCATAACCTCGCTGAAGTAATATGAAGAAAACTCAGCAGTTATATATTTATACATGACATCATATTCCAGTAAAATGTGAGTTCTTTGGAATTTGTTGCCAATGGAAATATTCTATAGATGAATAAAAGTAACCCATTCATATTGGCTGCTGACTAGGCCAATTGGCATTACTTGCCTGCACACTCTGTCCAGGGAAGAGGAAAGGGATTAATCTTCTTCCATAAATGATATTTTGGTTTCATTTAAAGCTTAAAACATATTTTATTTGCTAGTCTACCACAAATTGCTAAGCTTTATGCTACTCTTTAGGTTTTAAGTGTTTTTATTTTTCACTCTTACAAGTACTGTATGCCCTCTTCAGGCACAACACTGGGTGGCTGAAATCTTGATGCTATTCAATCTCTTCAACAGTTGTATCACAATACTGTCCCCTAAAGCTAATTTTCCCAACCTTATACACAACTAGTAAGATCAAAACTCTAACTTTACAGAAGCATGTCACTTTCTTACTTAATTCCTTTTCTCTGTCTCTCTCTGTTTCCTTACCTGTCCTTCAAACAGACTGTAGTTTGATCAGGGATTATCTAACCATTTCTCCCAACAAACCTTTTTGACATACTATATACACAGTACAGTATATTGAAATCATTAAGTGTTGATTAACAACTATTCCTCCAAGGGCTGCCTAGTGGAGGGCTGTGGATGGTCTGGATGGCAGCAAAGAACCTTGAGGATTTGTTGCACAGAGCACTTGTATTTGGTTTCTAATTATTGGAACTTGGTAAACTGTAAGTCTTGCTGGCTCAAAATCATTGCAAAAGGCATCCAACACAATGATTCTACCATGGTTATAAAGGTGTGTGGAGTTATTACATGAATTACTGAACATTGTTCGTCAGGACAGTACAGCCTGCTGCTAGAACATGTCAGACTGTCAGAGCCTCCTGGCCAACAGAGACTGTTGGAGGATGTTCTAATAAGGGTATCTTATAGCTTACTTACTGATGATCCACAGGATATAAAAGGATTGTGTGGCAAACACCAATGCTGTCAAATATATAATACAGTAGTATACCAATGAACAGGTATCACTGGTGATGGCTTGTAAGCTGTAAATAAAACTGACAATAATGATCCACTATCTCAGATATAAATTTTGTTTGTTATGAGAGTATTTTAATATCTACAGAGATCTGCAGCATTAAATATGATTGCTCTTGATCCACAGCAACATCGCAAGAGCTCTTTCTCTTGCGCTAAAACCATGGCGCTATAGGTGTCCTAAAAGTGAGAAAAAAAAACCCTAATCACTGGAGAGAAATATTGAAATGTACAAAAACAAAAACAGTAGCATCATTATGAGCAGTTATCTACTCTTCAACTTACTCCCTGTAAAGTAGGATGAGTAGCAATGCGAACAATGCGAGCTCCAGACAACTGTGGGAAATCATAGTTCTGGAACTGATTACTGATGGTCCAGGGGATAAGGTCTCCAGCAGGCTTCTCTCCTTGGGTCAAGGCAGACATCACAGAAGACTTGGAGATTTTTCCTTCTAGTGCCACCTGATGGTAGAAAGATAGAAGTCATCTTCATTTGTTACCTTCAATACCTCATACCAAGTACATCTATAAACAAGCTTTTGTACTTATTCTTCTACATATTTTCTTAATACCCTGTATTAGCACTTTTACTACTAATTTTTTAATGTTCTTTGCTAATTATTTTCCAATGTTAAGAGTCAATGTCGTCAGATGTCTGATAAGGAGAGGTACAGTCCCCCCCAAAAAAGTATCATTAGCCATAAGGTCAAAGTGATTCGAGGCTTTCCATGAAATGTTACTCGACCTGTTTCTGAGTGGTTGGAAGTTCTACATCCGTGACTTTTGAGCATGAATGAGTATACAGTATACATTTTCAAATGAAATGAATCCTCTGGGGCTTCAGATCATATATTACATGACTTGGAGTGGATGTTGTAAATGGGTACCAATGCCATGCCAGTCATCAACGGGATCTTACATTCAAAGGATTGAGGAATTATTTGGGAGTAATTGCATGATGTGAGAGGTGCTATCATGGCCCTCACAACGGGAGCATATGTAACCCCGAGATAGTATGGTGAACTCGGGTGAGTGAACCCACAGTATCACAATGGATTAGGTGCTATGAAACAACTGCTGCCACTGAAACTTAAAACCAATTTTTTTTCTATAGTGAACAGGGGGTTCTGTTGCCTGCAAGTCTCTTAATTTGAAACCTTATTTCAGTGTTAAACCAATGCAATTTACATATCAGTAACATGGCAGATCCCATGTAAACCAATTTATTGTACATTGCTGTAGCTGTTCACTCTAATATCAGTACTTTTTGCTGAGTTAATCTTCATAAATCAGTAATATCATGAACAAAATGAGTAGGCATATTGTGAAACTCAGTATGAATGAAACTCCATTAGTACAATGATGTAACAGTGAAATGGTGTTCTGAAACACTTTCATTTAAAGTATATTTCAGCATTATTGTAATCATCAGCCAGTGGCTTTTTCCATATACAGTACCTTGCTTCTACCCAGCACGATACATGCATTGATAAATAACTTAACAGATTTCTTGTTATACTATTGGAGCATCTATTATGCCATACAAGGACAATTGCCTCCCCCAATCCTACCTCCATTTCTAGCTGTTGCTGATATGGGGAGCAGGTGCACCAACTTATGATGATGCACTGGGGATCATATCATAGCATTTCATCTAGTTTCAAATTGTACCAATGTAAAATCTGACCATACTTTTTGGGAGGACTGTACATAGAGATTGAAGGATTAAGGTGCCTTGGCAATAGTTTTTAAGTTTTTCTAAATACCTGTACATGAGGTAGAAGATAGTTTATAGTATAACATGATATGGCTCTGTGATGAGGCAGACAGAATAACTGATGATGTGTGTAGTTGAGTATTCTGGGTAATTTAATTCATCATACCTGAACAACAGAGATAACTGGTGGTAGAGAATCCCCCTTTGTTTCATCTTGTGGTGGCAGCAACACAAAGAGGTGGTGTGCTGGAGCATCTGACAGTATCTGCAGGTCATCTGGTGTGTTACGGTAGTGGGATGACACAAGCAGACCCATCACTTGTGCCAAAAATTTCTCTGATACCTGGAATACATAAAATAAATACCCTGACAATATTAGGATGAAGATTCAGCATATGAACCTCTGAATTTATCACTAAATTATAAACCTGCAATTTTCTTCCAAAGGAAGGGACGCTAAAGTAGAATCTCTCTGAAAATTTTGAGGTAGCTAAACATCTCCATAATATCACCGGAAAACTGACACTCAAACACACTCTCTAGCTTTTTTCAACTTTTGAACTTGATCCGATTTTGCATCTAATAAGACTTCCAGAGAAAGTGTATAGCAGAGTAAGTATTGAGAAAACTACTGTAGAAAGGAGGGCATACTAGGCAATGGGCCTAGAAGAGTACTACATACGTATACTAGTGTATAAACCAATTTCATATACAGACAGACCCCGACTTACGACTGCTTCGACTTACGACCGTCGGGACTTACGACCACCTCAGATTTTTTATTAAAAAAAATTTTTTTTTTTCTTCAAATGACACGCATTTTCTATACCGAAACGTTTCCAGTTAATGTAGTCTCCATGTATAATTAGAAAATTATGGGGGCCCCATGTGCATTCAGCTGGCTACATTAAAGGTAAGTGCTCAGTCACACTGTAACCATTCCTTATTATTTATTACTTTCACTGTACTGTATCCATTCCTCATTATTCATTACTTTTACTGTACTGTATTTCATTGTAGATTATTTATTAAAAAAAAAAAAAAAATAATAATAATAATAATTTTTATCTATGTCGGACTTACGACCATGTCGGACTTACGACCTGGATTTGGGTCCCTAACCCCGTCGTAAGTCGGGGTCTATCTGTACAGTGGTCCCTCGGTTAACGAACGGTTTGATTAACGAATTACCTCCCATAAGGATCTTCAATTCGGTTAACGAACAAAACTTTTAATAATGAAATCCTTACGGCAAGTCCGCCAATACCCATAATCTGTTCTATGTTTACATTTGTTTCCAGTGGAGTAAATATCAAGAAGGTTGTGTTCTTGAATATTTTTGCATTTTTCATATTAAAATTATTGGTCATTCTAAAATTTAGCCACCCAAGCTCTGTCTACATATAGTTTTTCAACTAATATTTTTGGCTTGATTTATGTAACTTTATTCATTTATTGAAACTCATTTACATGCATACACTGTCCTAAGGGCAAAGCTGTACTGTACATGTAATCAAAATAATGTTCAAAATGATTACTAAAATTTTTGTCTAGTGCAAACTATAGCATGTTTACATTCAAATTAATCACTATCTTATAAGAATTCCGGCAGACCTTCGCAACAACTGTCAAACATGTCACTTTTTTCTCCCCTTCCCCCCCCCCCCTCTCAGCAAGGCTTTAAGTTTTTATCTTATATAATATCACAGACTAAAGTTAGGAAAATATAATTTGCATTGCTGGAATCCTTGCAAGACTGTAAATAATTTGAATATAAGCGTCATATATTTTGCACAAGAGATAAAAATTTTAGTACATTAGTCTACTGTAGTACATTTTAATAATGTACAGTTTTTCAACTGTATTTTTGGGTAGATTTACATAAATTTCTTCATTTATTTTCATCCATTTACATGCACACACCATACTAAAAGAAACATAAAAGAAATAAATGACCTAAGTGCAAACCTGTACTGTACTTGTACTAAATGATTACGGTACTAAAATTTTTATGTCTAGTGCAAATTATAGATTGTTTATATTCAAATTAATCACTATCTTACAAGAATCCCAGCAATGTAAATTATATTCTCCCAGGTTATTTCACTGGCATTTTATAAGAGAGAAGCGTAGTCACTCTTTAGGACTGATAAATAAACACACATCAGATCTTCGGCACCAACTGTCAAACAAATCTCCTCACCTACCCCTCCCTCCCTCCCTCTCCCCCATCTGCCCAGCCAGGGTTTTAGGCTTACAGATTTTATCTTATATAATATCACAGACTAAAGTTAGGAGAATATAATTTGCATTGCTGGAATCCTTGCAAGACAGCGAATAATTTGAATATAAACGTCATATATTTTGCAGAAGAGATAAAAATTAATCTCCTGTATCACATCACAGTACAGTTGTCCTTCAGTTAACGAACGCCTCGGTTAACGAAATTTCGGTTAACGAATTACCTTCCATAAGAATAATCAATTCGGTTAACGAAAAAAATTCGGTTAACGAATTCCTCTCAACATGTTTTCGCTTGCTCACCAGCTGGAATATTAGTCCGCCAATACAGTAATCGGTTCTAGGGCTTAAATTCGTTCCCATTTGAGTAAATATCAAGAAGGTTATACTATTCAATAATTTTCAAAGTTTTATATTAAAATTTTTAGTCATTTTAACAATTATTTAACATAATTGAAGTACAGGAAACTAGTTTTTAGTGTGCCAACCAGCCACTCAACTCACCAAACAGGCATCAGTTTGTATCTCTAATCAGTAGAGGTAACATCTTGCTTGAGACTCTCTTGAACATAAACTATTTTTACGTTTTTACCGTACAATTATTGGTCATTCTGAAATTTACTTTACATATTGACAATATATAGGGCAGTGGAGTGTTGATTTAAAGAAAATAATCTTGAATTACACCTAGTGAACTTAAAATTCTATGGGTGAAATGACGGTATGAAGCATGGGGTGATTTCTCTTCCACCCCCACTTCCTTTTCTTCTCCCTTCTCCTCCACTCCCACTTCTAATTCCCATCATCATCATCATCAACCAGGAGCCTTCTACATACACACCTCAAAGTAAGTGTACTTTACTGCATTTATTTTTATTTTGTATGTAATTTTCGGTGACCTGGAACCAATTACCCAAAATCCCATTGAAACAATGGTTTCGGCTAACAAAATTTTCGGTTAACGAACAACCTTCCAGAATGAATTGTGTTCTTTAACCGAGGGACCACTGTAGTGATTTAAGAGTTGTAGTGCGTGTGTATGTGTGTGTGTGTATATATATATATATATATATATATATATATATATATATATATATATATATATATATATATATATATATATATATATATATATATATATATATATATATATATATATATATATATATATATATATATATATACAGTTAACCCTCACTTTACGCGGTTAATGTAACCCAAAGGGTACCGCGGAAAGCGAGAAACGCGTAAAGTGAATAACATAACATATGGGATTAATTGAAATGGAGTCCACACCGATCCCCAAACTCCACTTTTTGACGACACATAACTATGTTGTAGTAAAAATAACATCTTAATTTTATGATGATACATGCACACAATTAATACTTAAGAGAAATAGAGAAATACAGTCACCAAGTTAATGTCCATTCAAATAATGGACACGACTCCCTCCCCCTCTCACACTACACTGCTGGCTCTTCCCTCTGAGAAATTTTTGGGGGAAAACCAGGTATAGTAATAAATAATACCTCAAACTAAAGGTAGGATAATATAATTGACATTGCTGGATTCCTTGTAAGACCAGGAATATTTTGAATATAAATGTCATATATTTTTCACATATTTACTCAGATTAAACATTACATCTAAAATTTGTACGTCTAATGCAAAATATATGATGTTTATATTCAAAATGATCACCAAATTGTAAGAATTCCAGCAATGTAAATTATATTCTGGCCGGGTAATTTGTATGAATTTTATGAGCTAAAACAAATATCTTCAGTTAATAAAAAAAAAATATTCTTCACGACACTATCTGTCAATCAAAGTACCCCACCTTGCCTCCCCCCCTCTTCCAACCGGTGGTCAGTCCCAACCCTCCCCCCCACCCCCCACCAATCCTCCCTTCAAGAGAAGAGTGGGTGAAAAAAATAAATTTTAACATTTTGTATTAAATAATACCTCAGATTAAAGTTAGGATAATATAATTGACATTGCTGGATTCCTTGTAAAACCAGGAATATTTTGAATATAAACGTCATATATTTTGCACAAAAGATAACATACTTACTCAGAGTGAACATTTTATCTAAAAATTTTATGTCTAATGCAAAATATATGATGTTTATATTCAAAATGATCATCAAATTGTAAGAATTCCAGCAATGTAAATTATATTCTGGCCGGGTAATTTGTATGAATTTTATGAGCTAAAATAAAAATCTTCAGTTAATAAAAAAAAAAATATTCTTCACACGGTAACAGATGGTCGGTCGCCGGTCCCTCCCTCCCTCCCCCCACCAACGTCCCTACTAGATAAATGTGTGGGAATACCAGACTGTTTACCTTTTTAGTAATAAATAATAAATCAGACTAAAGTTAGGATAATATAATTGACATTGCTGGATTCCTTGTAAGACCAGGAATATTTTGAATATAAATATCATATATTTTGCACAAAAGATAACATATTTACTCAAGAGTAAACATTATATCTAAAATTTGTATGTCTAATGCAAAATCTATGATGTTTATATTCAAAATGATCATCAAATTGTAAGAATTCCAGCAATGTAAATTATATTCTGGCCGGATAATTTGTATGAATTTTATGAGCTAAATAAAAAAATTATACTTCACCGTGTAAAGGGGTACACCCACCGCGGAATGTGAGCATCCTGGGTTCTGGCAGGGCACCGCGTAAACGTGGAAACGCGGAATGTGGGACCGCGTAAAGTGAGGGTTGACTGTATACAGATAGACCCCGACTTACGACTACGTGGACTTACGTCCATTGGTACTTACGACCTGCTTTGACCGTACGTCCATAAGGGTCATACGTATCGCTACCGTCGGTGAAACAAGTAAAAAAAATTATACTTCACCCGTGTAAAAGGAGTACACCCACATGAATGTGAGCATCACAGGTTCTCATAGAGATACCCGTGGCGATGAAACTTGAGGAATGTAGGACGTAAAGTGAGGATTGACTGTGTGTATATATATATATATATATATATATATATATATATAACTTACGACTATCTGTTTCGATCCAATATTATTCTGACCTACCTGCTGACCTGGCGTCGTCCACTCTGAGACATCTGACTACGACCGCCGGACCAAATTTTTCAAATAGCCGCGCGTTTTCTATACGAAACGTTTAATCCGAGGGTGTCTTGGAGTCGCCTCGTGGCTGCACTGCTGGTGGAAGCGCTTTGTTTGTGTTTATTTCTCGTATCCTACTCACTGGTCGCGCTGTGAACTTCGTTATTATTGTATTTAAATTGACTTTATAATGACTGGCTAGGCGTAAAGTGAGAGTGCTGGTGGTACTCCAAGGAAAAGGAGACAGGCAATTACTTTTGAAGATGAAACTGAAGATAATAACACAGT